TTGGCTCGCTCCTGAATGTGTTCATAATGAAGGAACTATTGTTCACAAGTGTTCATATTGTGTTCATATGTATACTAGTTGCATATCTCAACGTTGGCTCGCTCCTGAATGTGTTCATAATGAAGGAACTATTGTTCACAAGTGTTCATATTGTGTTCATATGTANTATACTAGTTGCATATCTCAACGTTGGCTCGCTCCTGAATGTGTTCATAATGAAGGAACTATTGTTCACAAGTGTTCATATTGTGTTCATATGTACACTAATTGCATATCTCAAAATTGGTTCACTCCTGAATGTGTTCATAATGAATAATGAAGGAACTATTGTTCACAAGCTGTTCATATTGTGTTCATACCTGTTTTTTTATTCATTTCCTTTCGTATAGCAGCTATTCTTATTATATTTATTTTGTGTTCATAAATCCTATGCAGTTCATATATATGTCAATTTTGTTCGTATTTGACACAATGGTTCATATATATAGATGTGTTCATATGGTTCTTACATTAACAAAAATCATGAGATTTTTTGATTTTACAACTCCCAATTAAGGATATGGGAAGTTACATAAAAAAATTACATAAATACCCTTTTCCACTTAGTTCATATATGTTTGTGAAATTGTAAATTTAAAAAATTAAATTTTTAATATGATAAATCACAACCGTTTATTGTAGGAATCAATGGCCAAAATTGGTTAACAAAGTTAACACAATAAACTTGGTTAACATTTGAACCAACCCATATATATATATATATATATATATAGGCACGCTCAAATGAAAACCGTGCATTTCTAAGAAACCGTGTAAACTAATTTCAAACAATAGGAAAATTCCATTTTTTTCTAATTAAATTTAATCAATAAGGGTATTTCGGTCATTTACAATATTTTCAATTAAATATGGATATTATTAATAATTCTTAATTAAGGAAACGTAATAAAAGAAATTTTATAAATGGTAACATTTAAATATTTAATTATATTATAATTTTAAAAATTTGAACTAAATATATCGTGATACGATTGAATCTGCTGGTGAATCTTGAAGATTGTAAAGCATAATGTAATGAATTTATCAAATCATGATTGAAAAAAGAAATTAATACAAATAAAACAGGTTTCATGAAAGTGAAACTGATTCATGTCATAATTGAACAATGAGTAGTGAAACATTTTCATGGTGAACCCATTTCATTGATGGTGTAGTTGATCCATTTAGTATGTGAAGTGGAAAATGAAACGGGTGCATAATGTATTTGGTTCGTCATGAAATAATTRCATGATGAAACGGGTACATGATGAATCTGTTACAAAATCTTGAAGATTGTAATCTGCTCCAGAATCTTGAAGATTGTAAGGCTTAAATGAATGAATTCATCAAAATCACGGGTGAAATAAGAAAATTAATGCACATGAAATAGGTTTCATGAAGATGAAACTGGTTCATGGCGCAATTGAACCAAGAGTAGTGAAACGGGTGCATAATGTATTTGGTTCGTCATGAAATAATTACATGATGAAACGGGTACATGATGAATCAGCTCCATAATCTTGAAGATTGTAATCTGTTACGAAATCTTTAAGATTGTAAGGATTAAAGGAATGAATTCATCAAATCAGGAGCGAAATAAACTAATCTATGTACATGAAACAAGTTTCATGAAGGTGAAATTAGTTCATGGCGTAATTAAACAATGAGTAGTGAACTGGTTTGATGGTGAACCCCGTTTCAGTGATGGTGTAGTTGATCCATTTAGTAGGTGAAATGCAAAATGAAACGGGTGCATAATGTATGCGGTTTGTCATGAAATAATTACATGCTAAAATGAATTCATGATGAAACCAGTGCGTCTTGAAATAATTTCATAATGAATAGGGTGCATATTTACATGGGTGTGTGAATAACATTGAAACAATTTCAGGATAAGGAACAAAAAGTTTGTTGCATTAGCGAAATTATTTCCTAACAAATAGAAATTTTTAATTTCCTAAAATAAAGAATAATTCTTTCAATAGGATGTTACAGAATATGTATTTTTGTTTACCATTTTGCCCTTATGTTGATATAAAAATAAAATTTTAATATATATATTTTTTAATTTCCTAAAATAAAGTAAACTAATTTTGACCATTGATCAAGAAAATGGATGGATAAGATTGGTTTACACGGTTTACACAAATGAAGGCGGTTTTCATTTGAACGTTCTGAAATTTACAATATCAAAACCATTGTAGGAAGAATGAAATGTAAAAATCAGTAAGATGAACAAATGTGAAACTTCATGTCATTATTACATGAAGATCAACAATTGATATTTTAAGATTTGTAACTCCCAATTAAAATATTAGGGAGTTACATAAAAATGACAAATTACCTAAATACCCTTACACTTAATATGTGAGTTACATTTGAACCTAACTAAAAGATGGAACATGATTGGTTGATGTTGGTTAGCATAGTTAACACAAAAAAATGGGTTAGTATTTGAACCAACCTATATCTATATATATATATATATATATATAGGTATAATTGTCATTTTACTGTATAATGGTTGATGCTGGAAATGATTTAATTATTTTTAAATATGGAAACGTAAATATAAAACCGTTTATATGAAAGGTGTAAATCAATTGTTTTTAAATATAATATTGAAAATGATTTAATTATTTTAAATATGGAAACGAAAATATAGAAACCGTTTATATGAAATGTGTAAATCAATTGTTTTTAAATATAAAACGGTGAAACAGTGAAGTAGTTGCATATAATGAATAAGACAGATTAATACAATTTCATAATGTGAAACAGATTCATACAGTGAACCAAATTCACACATGTGAATAAATACTGTAAAACAGATTCATACAATGAAGAAATACATGTTCATCTAGTTAAGAAATACAGATTTATACAGTGATGAAATAATGCTTTTCAAGAAAATTGATGAGTTTTCACAAATTAAGGTGGTTTGCAATTGATCGCTCATATATATATATATATATATATATATATATACACACACACACACACAGAGGGAGGTTATTTTACAACCTTTCCCATTCCTACACCCAATACAACCATCATCTCATCCCTTCAATTTTTAATCTATGGTCAAGATGCATTTGATGGCAAAATTGTAATATGATGGAAAACTATATGCACGCGCCTGATAGATTGAGGGTAACCAAGGGTAAAATTGGAATTGGAAAAGTTAATCTATTCTAAGAAGGGATGCTATGAAATCATGAATGCGATAATCACTCTGCTTTAGAAGACAAATAGTGAGATTCATTGACGAATACGATTTATGATTCTGTAGAAGAAAGAAATGGCAGACGAAGTTCAACCGGGAATTGTCATTGCATCAAATCGAGGTAATCGTTTGGTTGATTGCATTTAGTATAATGTTATTCCAATAACCTTA